TTACTCTTTTTGGGCTCCCCTCAATTATATATTTTCTTTCCTACCTTATCCAGGATTTTATTATTTTACCTCGTCCATTTGGCCTGCCCATTTTCTTTGATTCTATAATGTGTTAATTTGCTTTATTTATTTTATTTTGCTACTGTATGTATTTTATTCTGATGTAATTTTTTGATACTTACATTCTGTATTTTAATTTGCTGTATTGTATTTTGGGCTTGGCCCCATGTTAGCTGCCCCGAGTCCCCTTTGGAGAGATGGTGGCGGGGTATAAATAAAGTTTATTATTATTATTATTGGCAAGATGTCTTCAAAGGAGGTTTGTAATTGCCTTCCTTTGAGGCTGAGAGAGTGTGACTTGCTTAAGATGACTGGTAGGCTTCCATGGCTGAGTTGGGATTCAAACTCTAATGTCCTGGAGTTTTAGTCCAACACTCACACCACAACACCATACTGTATTTCTCTCTTGTATTTTGTCTTTAGGGGATGACAACAACGACAATGATTATTTATAAACAATGAAGAAAAAATTATCCCATGCTGTCTCTACATGCACTATGATGCAGTAAAGCAGAAGCGGCAGCTCTTGTTGACAGTGTGTTGAAATTCCTTCCATTGTGGAGATGTTGAAATCCGCACTGGATCAGCAAATACAAGAAATGTGCCTCAAACTCTAACTGAAACCTGAAACCTTATTGTAACATGTATTCAAAGGTGGCCACACATTGTGCCTGACTAGGTGAACCAAAACTGGTTCAGTCCCTCTAGACCAGGGGTCCCCAAACTACGGCCCGCGGGCCGTATGCGGCCCGCCGAGGGCATTTCTCCGGCCCGCGTGGCATGGCCTGGCCTGGCCACGCCCATCCGGCGCCGCTCCGCTAATTGCGGGAACCCTCTGCTCCGGCCGCTCTGCTCTCTGCGGCCACAGGGCGCCTCCCACTCCACTCCTAGCCGCGCTAGGAGTGGAAGCCAGGAAGCCAGGGAAAGGCAGGCTCGGCCAGGGGAAGGGACAGGCAGCGCTGCACCGAAGCCGCCGCCTGCACCTTCCCCCGCCTTCCCTCGGCTTCCTGAAACCAGGGGAAGGCAGGCTCCGCCCGGGGAAGCGACAGGCGGCACTGGTCCAAAGCCGCGCCGCCTGCCTCTTCCCTCCGCCTTCCCCTGACTTCAGGAAGCCAGGGGAAGGCAGGCTCGGCCCGGGGAAGGGACAGGCGGCACTACTCCGAAGCCGTGCCACCTGCCTCTTCCCCCCGCCTTCCCCAAGCTTCAGGAAGCCAAGGGAAGGCAGGCTCGCCTTGGGGAAGGGACAGGCGGCGCTGCTCCGAAGCCGCACTGCCTGCCTCTTCCCCCCCACCTTCCCCTGGCTTCAGGAAGCCAGGGGAAGGCAGGCTCGGCCCGGGGAGGGGACAGGCGGCGCTGCTCCGAAGCCGCGCCGCCTGCCCCTTACCCCCGCCTTCCCCTGGTTTCCTGAAGGCTCGGCCCGGGGAAGGGACAGGCGGCGCTGCCCCGAAGCTGCGCCGCCTGCCCCTTCCCCTGCCTTCCCCTGCTTTCCCCTTACCTACCTCACGCAGCCCCTTGTGCAAGCCAGACGCTCGCACTAGCCATCCCCTGCCATGCGTTGCTGTGGCCCACATGGCTGTTCTGTGTGGGAGGTTTGGCCCAATTCTATCGTTGGTGGGTTCAGAATGCTCTGTGATTGTAGGTGAACTATAAATCCCAGCATCTACAACTCCCAAATGTCAAGATTCTATTTTCCCCAAACTCCACCAGTGTTCACATTTTGACATATTGAGTATTCTTAGAGTTTGGTCCAAATCCATCATTGTTTGAGTCCACAGTGATCTTTGGATGTAGGTGAACTACAACGCCAAAACCAAAGGACACTGCTCACCAAACCCTTCTAGTATTTTCTGTTGGTCATGGGAGAACTGTGTGCCAAATTTGGTTCAATTCCATCCTTGGTGGGGTTCAGAATGCTCTTTGATTGTAGGTGAAATATAAATCTCAGCAACTACAACTCCCAAATGACAAAATCATTTTTTTGAGTGAAGGACATACATTGGGTTGTTAGGTATCCAGTGGATTTTGAGTTCTGTTAATCCCACAAACGAACGTTACATTTTTATTTATATAGATTTATTTCCTATATTTATGTTTTTGTGATTAATCACTATGCTTTATGTTCAGATTGTAACAAAAAAATACATCATGCATATCAGATATTTACATTACGATTCATAACAGTAGCAAAATAAGACATGTGCAGCGTGCATAGGAATTTGGTCACTTTTTAAAAAAAAATAGTCCGGCCCTCCAATGGTCTGAGGGACAGTAATCTGGCCCCCTGTTCAAAAAGTTTGGGGACCCCTGCTCTAGACCAACAGCTTCCTTTCCCTGCCAGACAGCTGCAGAGCTCCTAGCCAATGTGGGCACCCTGTACTTGCAAGGACCACATCACACTATCAATTTCAATTCCTGTAGCTGCTTCCTGCATAATTCCAGGTTTTGTAGTTGCATGAGGCCCTGGACCGGTCTGGCTGAGCAGTTTATAGCCCCCCCCCCCCCAAGCTACAAACCCCAGAAGGCAGGAGGCAGACACAGGATTTAAAATGGATAGACACTCTAGTGTAGTGGTTCCCAACCTTTAGTTCTCCAGATGTTTTGGACTTCGGCTCCCACAATTCCTAATAGCTGATAAGCTGGTTAGGATTCTTGGGAGTTGAAGTCCGTAACACCTGGCAGACCAACAATTAGGAACTACTGCTCTATTGTGATGTGGTGGGCACCAGAAAAGATGCCCACATTACTAGAGAGAAAGAGAAATTGGATAGATTACTTTTGTGCCTTTGCTCACTGTACTCTGGAATCCTAAATAGACATGCAATGTTTCAAACATCTGACTGTTCTAACATAAAGACCCTGTAGCTCTAACAAAGAGATGTTATGTATCCATATCCAAAAACCTTTTCTGTTATTGTTGTTGTTGCAAAATATCATAGGACTTCATCACACTAGAGCAGGGGTCCTCAAACTAAGGCCCGGGGGCCAGATGCAGCCCTCCAAGGTCATTTACCCGGCCCTTGCTCAGGGTCAACCTAAGTATGAAACAACTTGAAAGCACACAACAACAGCAATAATCCTATCTCATCAGCCAAAAGCAGGCCCACACTTCCCATTGAAATACTAATAAAGTTATATTTGTTAAAATTGTTCTTCATTTTAATTATTGTATTGTTTTTAAGTGGTTTTTTTTTTTGCACTACAAATAAGATATGTGCAGTTTGCATAGGAATGCATTCATGTTTTTTTTTCAAATTCTAATCCAGCCCTCCAACAGTTTGAGGGACTTTGACCTGGCCCTCTGTTTAAAAAGTTTGAGGACCCCTGCGCTAGAGCATCTATCCACTTTAAATCCAATTGCTGTCTCCTACAGAATTCTGGGGTTTGTAGTTTAGGGAGGGCCCTTTGAACTGCTCAGTCAGAGATGTCCTGGCCCTCACTAAGCTACAAATCCCAGAATTCTGCAGGAGGCAGCAACTGGATTTAAAGTGGACTAAAAAGTGGACCTGGATTAAAAAGGGCAAAAAAGAAGCCAGCCTCCTCTAGGCAGGAATAAAATACAATTTGAGTATCTCTTTTCTGAACTTTTGGGACCAGAAATGTTTTGGATTTCATATTTTACAATACCTGTATTTGTAGATACATACATAATGAGATATCTTGGAGATGGGGCAGAAATCTAAACCTAAAATGCATTCATTAAAACCAGTAAATTTATGGTTATTAGGCGCATGGTGGGCAGATAGCATGCAACTCCATCAGCGCTCCGGAAAATCCTGCAAATCCCTTGGGAAGACAAGCGGACAAACGTCAGCGTGCTGGAAGAAGCAAAGACCACCAGCATTGAAGCGATGCTCCTCCAAATGCCCGACCACCGTCTCCCAAAGCATTTGCTCTACTCCAAACTCAAGAACGGAAAACAGAATGTTGGTGGGCAGGAAAAGAGATTTAAAGATGGGCTCAAATCCAACCTTTAAAACTCTGAGAAATTGGAATCCCTGGCCCTTAAGCGCTCCAGTTGGAGGTCAGCTGTGACCAGCAGTGCTGTAGAAGAGGCACAAATGAAGGGTGA